TTTCATGTTTGTCTCTCTGAATCTTGATTCTTCATCAAAGCTCCTGATAGTTGTTGATCCTGAAATTGTTTCAGCAAAATTTTGTATCACTGGAGCTTTGCATACTCCAACCAACCTTGCAAGTTCTCGTGCAGAAGATATGTAATATTGCTGCAAAATTACTAGTTTATGAGTACTCTTATTCCAAATACTATTAAGTATTCATTGAATCACAATGAAATTGAGGCTGAATGTATTAGCAATGCTGGAACTTTGAAGAAAAAAGGCAGGTGTAGAAATGAACAACACAGCAAATCCACAGTCCTGTGAAAACATTAGCACAAAGACAAAGATTTTCATCCAGACATCAATGGAACTAACATTTTTTGTTCTTTCAGCATCAATTCAACCAAATAACATGAGCCACTGTTATAGAGTGCATTTTAATATTCACACACACATGAGATGAAGTAAGGCATGAGGAATGATAACAGCACAATAATAACTTGCTTTAACCATAGTTGCAGCATCTCTTCTTATTACAAACAAGAAGAAAATGTCCTGGCAAGGTCCTTTATCAGATAGCAAAAAACAATATGCTTGATCAAAAGTCTCCAGTTCTTTTAATGAATCATAATTCTTGACTAGAATACTTAACAACTACACAAACGGTAAATGCCAAGTTTTCCACAATGTGGTAGAACAGAGGTGATCTTCCCTTGAAGAAGGGTTTACAATGATTTCTGTAGTTTTAATGTACACAAGGCATATGCAAACATGAGAAGTGAAAAGAAGATAAAACAGTATAGTTGAGTTTAGAAGGACTACCTGATACCAGACAGAGGTAGCAATCACAGGGATAAAAACAATAAAGACCTGCCATGCAGCCTGAGACATCACTACAATGATTCCAAGGAGCTGAATCATTGAGAAGCCGACTGCACCTACTTGATATGGAATGCTCAAATCAACTGCACTTTGATCTGTGGAAGCCTACAACAAGGGAAAGTTAAATTACATTAGTACAACTTCTAGGATTTCGCAAAAACTAATAAGGAAAAATCTCAAAAAATTAAATCCATATTTAAAATTATCCCAAGAAAGCATCTGATGCTTACTCTGTTCAGGATACGCCCACTTGGGGTGGCATCGAAGAAAGACATGGGAGCACGGAAAATGCAATAATGCATTTTATTGAAAAGTTGGGTTGCTGTCTTGTAACCAGCAGTATAAAGAAGCATGGCTCTAGCAAGAATGCATAAAGAACTTCCGACAGCCAATGCCACATAGACCATTAGTATTGTGGAGGTCTCAACTAAGGGTTTGCTATCCTCTGACACAGGAGTTGCCCAAGCCATCCAATAATTGCTACCAATCTGAAGAAGCTGAAAAACAATCTGTGCCAGCAATATAAAGGGCACAAGAGCTCCACAATATGCTGTGGTAATATACTTCCAGTAGACTGAAAACCCAACACGACCTTTCTCTCGCTCTTCTTCTTGAACAAGCTGCCCTTTAGGCCCAACTATGTCATCAGTTCTAGCATTCTGCATGTCTTTATTGTCTTCATTCTGCACATTCCCAATAGTACTACTCACACCACCTTCTTTGTTCAAATTTACTCCTGTAGAAAGAGATCCTCCCTCAACTATGTCAAGTGCTGACAAAGCGTTATCATGTGCATCCACAAGTTCCATAAAATCAGTCCCAGAGTTTAGAATCTCATTGTATTTTCCAGCTTGTGCGATCTTTCCATCTTTCATGACCTAAAACAGTATGCAGTTAGTATCCTCATTATTTCAGTTCATTACATCAAAAGAATGGAAGAAAACCAAAGAGGTATACTCACCAAGATTAGATCAGCAGCAGGCAAGAACTCAACTTGGTGGGTGATATAAATTACAGTTTTTGAACTCAACATGCCCAGCAAAACTTCCTATCATACAAAGATCAAAGAGATATACTTCAATAAAGCATTAATATGAAGCGAAAAGGAAAATTTTTTGCTTCAAAAAATATACTAAAAAAATAAAATCAAAACATGATGATATTGGTAATGTGTGGATATTCAATTATCATTGATGAATAAACTAGGACATAAGGGTAAAGGAAAATGTATAAAGATCAAAAGTAAAGTCTTTCTCACCATAAGTGAGGACATTTAGACAAGAACAGATGTTACCTTAAATAAGTGAGACCCAGTAAGGGCATCCACAGCACTGAAGGGATCATCAAACAGATAGATATCAGCATCTTGGTAGAGAGCGCGTGCAATCTGTATTCTTTGCTTCTGTCCTCCACTCAAGTTTATTCCCCTTTCACCTATGACTGTCTGGTCACCAAATGACAGGATTTCCAGGTCCTTTTTCAGGGAACAAGCTTCAAGCACCATCTCATACCTTTCCCTATCCATCCCTTTACCAAACAATATGTTTTCTTCAATCTTTCCACTCTGTATCCAAGGTGATTGAGCAACGTATGCCTTTGTGCCACACAACCTAACAGTCCCCGATACTTTTGGTATCTCCCCCAATATACAAGAAAGAAAACTTGACTTGCCAGAGCCAACAGTACCACAAACAGCAATCCTCATACCATGTTGTACTTTTAAATTAACATCTTTTAGTGTTACACTCGAGGTAGATAAATCCCAGGAGAAATTTCCATCAACAATCTCAATTGCAGTATCAGAACTACCTCTTGGAAGCCTTTCTATGACATCAGGCTGTAAATCATCCAGGCGAAGGAAAGATGCAATTCTATCAAGAGAAACCTTTGTCTGAACTATCATTGATATTGTATCAGGAAGATTAGATATTGGCTCTTGAAGAATCCTGAATGTTGCAAGTGCAGATAAGATCTTTCCTGACTCAAGAGGGATTCCCAGAAGCATACAAGCACCAAAAGTAGCCACCGACACAAAAGTTGGTGCCACCCAAAATACAAAACTGCTCATGGCTGTAGTGTAAACAAATTTTTTTAACCATCCTGTCTCAGCATTTCTGAGCTCAATAATCCTAGACAGAAACTTCATTTCCCACCCTTGAAGCTTGAGAATTCTCATATTCCTTAGAATCTCAGATGTTGCCTTCATCCTTTTATCTTTTGATCCCATCAACTTGTCCTGAAAGTTCTCTTGCAGTCTTCCCAAAGGAAAATTTGCTAGCATAACAATAACAGTCGCAATAAAGGCTGCAACTGAGGCTAGCCCAAGATTTTTGTACAAGATGAACAATGCCAAAGCAACTTGCAGAATGACCAACCATGGATCATGCAGATACCAAGAAAAGTTACCAATCCTTTCTGCATCAACAGTCATGAAATTGATAATCTCCCCACTAGTGTGGCTCTGCTTTGACTGGCATGAAAGGGTCAAACCCTTGTTGTAGATCATTGCTACCAGTACTGCTCTAATCTGAATTCCAATTCTCTGCAGCCTAAAATACCAGTGCCTCTGAGATAGGCACTCTACAAGCTTTGCCACAAAGAATGTTGTAACCAGAACATAACCCTCATTTTTAAAATCCCTTTGCCCATTGAGGTATTGAACAAACGTGTCAATGAGATAAGGACCAACATATGAAGCAACCGTGCACGCAAGTGCCAAAAGAGCTGTGAAAAGAGTGTCTTTCCATACCAGTAGGAACAATGCCCTTACCAGCTTAAGTTTGGTTACTCCACTCCCCACGCCACCAGCTGACTCGAGGTTATTTCTAAAATTTGGGAAAGCCCCAATTACACTATCAAGGCTATCAAGTTGAGGAACGTCCTCAAGGTCTAAGGTTTTCTTATTGCCTAGAGCAATCAAAGACCCCATCCAAGAGAATGTAAGAATGCTAAAAATTCCAGCATTAGAGAAAAGGGTTACAGAACCAGCTCCTCGGGACTTATCTGAGACTACCCCATTACCAACACTAGAATCCCCATTCAGAAGGGGTTCCCCAAGTAGGGTGTCTTCGCCCTCATTTCTATTCAAAAACCCCACATAACAGAGGAACAAACCAGTAATGACAGAGAAACCATCAGACACTAAATACTGACTAGGTAATGAAAGATGTTGAACTATGTCTATAACAAGACAATACCCAGAAATTGAAAGATAAAACCCCCACCAGACTCTCAATAAAAATGGGAACTTTTGTTCACCGGAATCAGAGAATTGGGTATGCCAGAAAACAGAAACTACACCCCAAGCAAAAGTTTTAAGAACTAAATCTGAAAGGTTCACAAGCTTCTCCCCAGACCAACCATTCCTATACCAATAGAAATAGCTCAACAAACACAAAACAATATTAAAAACACAAACACCTAAACAACAAAACAGAGTGGACTTATACAACAATACCCTCCTGCGCTTAAACCTCTCTTTTGACTCCTCACTAGAATCACCCTTTTTCCTCCTTACCACCCACAAAACAAACAACAAAAGTAACAAAACTAGGTGTAATGCACCAGAAAACCCACGTGCAAAAATGGGTTTAAGCAGAAAACTGAAATCAGCAGTACCTGAACGCATGAGTGAAGACGAATAAGACACCATACCCCGCATTGCTGAAGCCAAAAGTTCCATTTTCTTAGAGCTCAATGAAAAGGGTATGCAAAAACTAAAACCAAGTCTCTGGTTCTTCACAGAAATCAATGAGATTCTCTTCAGGGGTTGGTGAATATATATTGGGGGGAGGGCGATACTGAAAAGGAAAAAGTGTGAAAAAAAAAAAGCCCCCACCACAGACTAGACTCACAGAGTCAGTCTGAAGTCAATTTCTTGGGGAAGAGATATGCGTGAGGAGCAAGGCCTAATTAAATAAGAGGGACAAGGCGGAAAGAGGACAAAAGCGGAACAGACGTATGTAAGACAAAAAAGTCAGTGTCTTTGGGGGAGAAAATCAAAGATGGAAATGGCTTCTGCAAGCTGCAGCATTCATTCCTCACCTCCAATGACTAAATAAAATAAATATTCTGAGAATATTACGGTATCTCAGAACTTTGCATAATAAAAAAAACAAAAAAAAAAAGCCTGAAAATTTTTCGAAAGACAATCCGAGCCCTGGGATTGGGTTTCCGGCCCACATGAATTAAGGTAGAAACTTATTTTGAACTGCTCACTTTATTAAATTTAAAGATTTTAATTTTTTATTTTATATTATAATTTTTTATTTTTTTATTTTATTAAGTTTGTAAATATCTTTACTTATTAAAATAAAAATAAATAGTTATCAGTCAATTAACAGTCAATTAATAGAATCAACAATTAATTAACAGTTAACTAATAGAGTCAATAATCGACTAATAAAACTAATAAAATGTTATAAAATAAGAATTATTTTTTCAATTTAAATGGGTGAGAAACTAAAAGTGTCATAATATAAAGTGAAGAACTAAAATTTATAAAT